CCATTTCCGTACAAAAGTACGGAACTTTTTACAGTGCAACAATCGGCTCGCTTGCTCCTCAGCTTCAACGTTTAGAAGCCATACAGCACCGCTCCACCAATCTGTTTCAAAATGGCGGACTGGAAGCAACCCTGCGTTTCCCTGACACATCTAGGACTCTAGGACGGAAAAGACCTTAACTTGCCGTGAAACTCCGACAAGTTGGGGCAGTTGGCGGACAACGCGCTCGCTGGGCTTTCACATGCAGTCCCTGCTTACCGCAGCCCCTTTTGGACCTCTTCGATTCACCAGACGCACAGTGGGCCAGAAGACCGGCGGAGGCGGTCGAAATCCCGAAAGGGTTTTCAGCTCCAGAGTTGTCAAACAGGACTCGCAAACGAAACGTTTGACCCCACCAATGGATTGCTCTCCGAACGAGGAATCCATTGGCGGGGTCACACGTTCGGTTCGGGTCCCGTTTAGCGACTCTGCAGCTTTCAACGAGTCTAGAATTTCGGCCGCGTGTGCCGGTCTTCTGGCCCACTGTGGGACGGCCGAGTTGACCCGGAGCCGCTTCGGCCCCGCCGTGCCAATAGTGGCAATCGGCCCATTTTGGGGCACCCGCTGTAAATCTCGCAGCACGGCGCGCCACGGCGGGGCAGGGCGTGGCAGGGCGTTGCAGGGCGTGGCGCGACACGGCAGCAGGGCGGAGGTGAAGCCGGCAGGGACGCCCAGGAATGCGTCGGGTTGGCGGGGCGGGGCGGGGCGGGGCGGGGCGGGGCGGGGCGGGGCGGGGCGGGGCAGCCTGCCGGGTGCATACCAACCACGCGCCCTGTTCCATTCCGCCGGTTCGATTCCGCCTTTTCCATTTTCCATGTTTCGCTCTGTCTTCGCGGCGGAACGAAAGCGCACCACTTAACTCCTTTCCGGTTGTTTCGCGGCGGTTGTTTGTTTTTGCGGACGCCGCCGCGCCATTTGCGGCCAGGCTGCCGCCGCTTTGGGAGCAAATGGAATACAAATAGGTCCGAAATGCAATAGTGCGCTCGGCACTGATTGGTGGAGGTTGGAGAGAGAAGGCGCCTCTCCGGCCAATCAGCGGCCGCGGTGGCTGCGCGCGTCTGTGACACGATGACGTACATCGGCCGCTGCAGCGGGGAACGCGTTCGTGTGTGTGCGCGCGCGCGCGCGTGCATGTGATTCGCGTTAGGAAATGCACACGCGCTACATCCGACTACTACACCTCCTCATCCTTCCCCGACCCGATGCCAAGGCGGTGCGCGGTGCGCGGTGCACGAGGGCTTCGGGGGCTAAGGGGGAGGGCGGTCGTCGGGCGGGGACTCGGCTGAGACGACGCGGCTCCCCGCCCTGCCCAGCCCTGCCGCCCTGGAGGCTTGCCAGCTTGTCAAAGGTGGCTAGGGACCTCCCCGAGGAGTAGAGGGGGACGCGGCTGCCGCGGGACGGGCCGGGCCGGGCCTGGGGCCGGGCGGGAAGGGTGTCAGCTTTAGGTCACGTCTTGCATGTCAGCCTGCCTGAGCGTGCGGCGCGGCGCGGGGCGGGGCGGGGCGGGGCGGGGCGGGCGCCCCACACCCCGTTAGCTGACATGCGTGCAGTCACCGTGCATCGCTCCCCGCTATTTTCAATCACGTTGCCACAAAAGGAGACAGCCGCCTGCGCCGCGGTTTATCCATCTGCGCCACGAGCGCGGCTGGCTGGGCCTGGCGGCCGGGCGGCCTGGCGCCATTTCGCTTTTTTACCGCGGAGGGGAAGACGAAGGGGCGACGCCGAGGAGAACGCGCCGCAGCAGGCTGACCCCGAGAGTCTGTCTCTCTCGCACCTGTACGGGGCGCCGCATGAGTGCGAGAGAGACAGCGCGACGAAAACGACTCTCAGAATGAGTCTGCAGCCGAGGCACTATACGGGGCGCGGCCCCAGCCAGCCCCAGCCTGTGACGCGGTAGTGGCGCCCTCCGGCTCTGCGGTCTCACGTAGCGAGGCTAGCTAGGCCAGCGAGGCGCCGCTTGTAAGCGCTTAATACGCTCATTTGGGATTCCTAATTACACTTTTACACCTGCCTGGCCGCCTGTTGGCCGCCTGCGCGCACCGGGGACCTAAACTACCGCACCCTTGGTTCCGCCCCGCCGCCTTGCCCGGCCGTGCCGCGCCGTACCGCGCCCCGGCCGACGTGTGGACGGCAATTGGCTGGGCCTTGACGGCCTGGTGCCCCGCCCCGCCCCGCCCCGCCCCGCCCCGCCCCGCCGGGCCCAGCGGCTCATCCCATCCGGCTGCTCGACAGACGCCGCGCCCGCCGCGCCGGGCATTGAGCCCATCTCATTGTCTCGCGTAATTTGGCCTTCCCTTGCGGCTGTCTGGCGGGGCGGGGCGGGGCGGGGCGGGGCTCGGGCCCGGGCCGCAGTGTGGTGCCCTGTCGGTCCGGAACTAATCCTAAACGCAGCGGGCTGTTATGGCATGCCCGGCTCCATTGGACCGGGCAGGGCGGCACGGCGGCAACACGGCACCGTCTTCCTCCAGCAGCACGCATTCCAACTAAGCGGCCTCGGCCGGGCTTCCAGTGCACGCCCGTGGCCAGGCCCCAATCGGCCTCCAACTCGCACGGCGTCACGTGTGTGCGTGTGTGTGTGTGTGTGTGTGTGTGTGCGCGCGCGCGCGTGTTTGTGTTTGTGAGAGAGAGTGAGTGCGGCACGACCAACAGTATCTGATGCAGCCGTTTTCTCTTCTCTCCAGTCTCGTATAATCATCCCCGGGGCGTGCGTGGAGATGGCTCCACTGTGGGGGTCGGGTTCGGCTGTCGCGTTAGGGCGGGGCGGGGCGGGGCGGGGCGGGGCGGGGCGGGGCGGGGCGGGCCACTGGCGGGGCTCCAGGCGGGTCGAGGCTGACACGGCGTCCGCGATAACCCTTCCTCCTTTTTATTTTGTCTACCTCGTGATTTGCACGTCGTTGTCCTCCGGCGGGGGCATCGGGACATCTGTAGCTGTCCTCGCTCTATCTGGCTCCGTGCCTTGGCCGCGCCCTGCCTTGCCGTGCCGCGAGCTGCGCACCTGGAACGCCAACAAACTCGCCCAGATTCAAACTTGTGTTGATGTTGCCTGGCCGGCGGGCACCGACGCTTCCGCGCTACGGGGCAAACGAAACACGAGAGAGAGAGAGAGAGAGAGAGAGAGAGAGAGAGAGAGAGAGAGAGAGAGAGAGAGAGAGAGAGAGAGAATCGCAGGACGAGACAAAAATGTAAGACCTGTCCGTTGATGATTTTTTTTTTTTTTTTTTGCAACAAAATGTGTGTATGGCCATGACCAGTGCCATGCTTATGCATATGAAAGCGGTGCGGCGCTTGAAGCCTCGATGCGGAGACGTGTCGCCGACCGCCCCTTTTGTCCCAGAAACATGCCAATTGCCAAAACATGGCGGCCATCGGACACGCAGAGGCGGCGGGCCGGCCGGGCCGCGCATTCCGCCGGTGCTCGTTTTGCAGAGAGGACCCCGTTTTGTTTTGTTTTTGTTGTTGTTTTGTTGTTGTTTGCGCCGGACAGTGGTACGGACTTTGTGCCGCGCTGGTCCAGGTACGGCACGCCACTGCTTTCCTTGGCCACGCCACGCCGCGCTGTGCCACGCCACTCGCTCAGAAACTTTTTCATACTCGAAACAAATCCGTCTTGATGAAGTTCGGGTTCCACGGAACTCGGACCGCGACCACAAGACCGACCCTCCGTGGGAAGACCGTGCGCTGGCCGACACCTTGTTCCACTCGCCGTTTTTTTTTTCAATTATTATTTCATTTTATTTCTGCTCGGCGCTAAGTTCCTCCTTCAATTAAAAGTTATGGCGAAAGATTTAAATATTTGAGGAAATCGGCGGGAGGCGGCCGTCCGCGTGGCGCGGCGGGGTGGGACTCGCACGTCACGAGAGGCGGCGGGCCTTGAAATTCGGGACTGGGAATGACACGTAGGCCTGGGCGATTATTGGTTGTAATCGTAATCGGCCGATGAATAAAATAATCGCGATTGGTGTCGATTAGCAGTTCGGTAATCGGTAATCGAAAACGTACACGATTAATCGAAAATCAACGATTAATCGGGGGAAACCGATTATTTGGAAATTGACAAACAAAGGTTAATACTCGTACTATTGTAAAAATAGCATGTAATAAGAGGATAGGAAAACCATTGGCGCAACCTCGAGTGTCTGAGACAGCTTTTTCGTGCCTTAACTGAAAACTTTTCAAGACTTTTCCGCTCAGAATTTGAACAGGTGATGGATAGAATATCCGATAATGAGACGATTAATCGATAATCGATCATCGTTAAATAATCGGTCAATCCTTCGATTACCGAACCTCTAATCGGGGGTTTGAAATAATCGGACGATTAACAAAATAATCGCGATTATTTTCGATTATTCGATTAATCGCCCAGGCCTAATGACACGGTTTCAAAGAATTTTCACCGGCAAACAACAACGAGGGGAAAAAAATGGTTGACGCGTTTCGGAAGCCCTGCTTGGCCCTAGGTAGGCCCTTCCCCCAAACAGAAAGCCGGCACGAAAACGGAGCCGAGATCCAGCAGCGCGCTCCTTCATTTGCGATGCGACGACAAGGTGCAAATTGTTTTTCTGCTTTCCTCTTAATGAGGTCGTTAGTGGTCCGCCTGCACCGGCGCGGCCCCGGCGCAGCGCTGGCAGTGCAAGCAGCGCGGTGCGGTTCGGCAGGTGGCTCAATGTGTGCTCGTTACGCCGGGCACGCCGGGCACTCACACAGACGCACAGTGGACTTGCCAGTGGAGGCGGCCGATCTCCAGACGCGTTCTGAGCTCCAGAGTCACTAAATGGGACTAGAACCCAACGTGCGACCCCACCAGTGGATTCCTCGTTCGAAATGAGTTATCCATTGGTGGAAACACACATTCGGTTCGAATCCTGTTTGGCAACTCTGGAGTTCGCGTCCAGAGTTTCTAGAGTCTCCTGGCCTACTGTTCAGACGCAGTCAGCAGCTCGGCCTTCTTCGTGTTGCAGGCTGAGCGTGGCGGTGCAGGAGGCAGCGGCGGCGGCGGCCTTCGGGACGACGACCATGGCGGCGACCATGACGGCGACGACGTCCGCGAGGGGCACCCTGGTGCCGCCGGCGGACGCCGTCCTCGTCCCCAAGCTGATGGGCAACAGCAACTGCACCGCTGAGGACTGCCTGCAGATGCAAGACATCTTCTACGGGTAAGCGTTGCCTCATCCGTCCGAAAAATAAAAAATAAAACAATAACAAAAACATAAAGGAAAAACTGGTGCGTGCGCAGGACGTCGGACATGAACGACACGTGGCGCAACATCTCGGGCAACGGCACCACGCCGGCCGGCGCCGAGGACAGCGCGGTGTACTTCATGGCCGCCATCTCCGTCGTGCTCGGCCTCATGATCCTCATCACCATCATCGGTGAGTCTCGCTGTTGCTGGACGCGTCGTCGCACAGTGGGCCAGAAGACCGGCGGAGGCGGTCAAACTCCCGGACGCGTTTTGAGTTCCAGAGTCGGTCAATGGGGCTCCAGTGGAACGTGTGATCCCACCAATAAATTGCTCTCCGAACGAGGAATCCATTGGTGGGGTCACACGCTCGGTCGGAGTCCTGTTTAGTGACTCTGGAGCTCAAAACGCGTCAGGAGTTTTCGGCGTCGATCTTCTGGCCCACTGTGCGTCGTGCCATTGTAGTTGTTGTTCAAGTCGTCGATCGCGTGAGCGTGTCGAGGCGAGTGCTCGTCACGGAAGGCGGAGGTCGGCAGTGGAGGCACGTCACGCGTGCGTGCGTTGCGTGCGTCGCGCGCCTCGCGTGTGTGAGGGATGGCAGGGCGGCGCCGAATCACTGCCGCGTCTCGTGTGCTTCGTGGCTGAGTGACGCGGGGCGGGGCGGGGGGCGCAATGCGAAAAGTTGGCCCGCAAAACGAGTGTCGTTCGATCGCAGTGCCGCATGGCCACCGCCGAGGCCCAAACCAGCCTCACCCGCAAGGATGAAAACGGCAAGAGTCGTCCTTACTGTTTCCAGGGAGGCCTGCAGGCTGCCTGCAGCGGCCGGAAAGTTTGCAGACAAGGTCGCCGCTGGCCCTGCAAAGCCTGCAAAGCTTCCCTCCCCCTTCCCGGCGTCTTCCAGGGCCGCTGTGGCCGCCCAGGGTGGCCCCGGCCAGACAGCCAAGTCCCGCCCATGCCGGTCCATGCTTGGGTCGTTGCACGACGGGAAGCAATTCATATTCCCTGTTGACCCTCGCGCCACCAGGCCGCCACCAGGCCGCCAACGGCCGGCCCGAGCTTTTCAATGATTTGCCTCCATTCAGCGCGTTTCCGATTAAGCGCTTCCGCGGTTTCGGCACGGCAAAAACGGTGCCTGGTTTTCGCCATAGCTGGTAAAGACGTAGGCGCACAGTGGGCCGGGCCGGACCGGCGCTGGCGGCCGCCCCGAGTCGGGTCGAGTCAGACTGCCGAGATGAACTTCGTCCCCGGCGGAGAGGCAAGGAGGTGACCGCTTGCAGGATGCATCAAACATTCAGTCCTCACGTGCGCGCCGCGCGGTTGAGGGCTGAGGGGTCCCTATGCGGATGCAGGAGGACCACAAAGGCTAAGTCGTCCCTCTGGGCACAGTGCCGGCCCGGCCGTGCCACTTGCCGGTGCGGGCAGTGCGGGCCCCCCGTGAGGTTGACGCGAGGACCCGCAGTTCGCACCCCCCGTCATGATACACCTGTTTCTTTGGCCGATTGTGTGTGTGTGTGTGTGACTGTGTGTCGTGCGCGGGTTTGTCTGTGTGTGTTTGTGTGGTGAGGGGCATCCGGACAAGCCGCCTTTGGAACGTGTGCGTGCTTGCACGTGTGGACCTAATCCACGTGGGGTAATTTGTCATTGCGCCACACTCGCGCTGCCCGAGTCCGGCAGGACACTACTCACTGACACACACACACACACACACACACACACACACACACACACACACACACACACACACACACACACACACACACACACACACACACACACACACACACACGGCATTCGCGCATTGTCCAGTGTGGCATTGATGAGCTCGCCTTTTGCCCTGCCACGTGATTATCTCCCCTTGTGATTCACTTCGGCGTGGCACACAATTGACGCTGTGACCCGCGAGCCGCGCCGGAAAGGGTCGATTTCGCGACAGTCGGTGCGTGGCGACGTGGCGACTGGCCGGCCGTGGTGACGTGTGCCCGCACCACCCGCACCGGGAGCACGCGGTTCGGGGCCTCTGCCACCGGCCTTCATGCCACCGGGTCTCTATGCCACCGGGTCTCTATGCCAGCGAGCCTCTATGCCACCGGGCCTCTATGCCACCGGTCCTCTATGCCACCGGCCTTCATGCCACCGGGTCTCTATGCCAGCGGGCCTCTATGCCAGCGAGCCTCTATGCCACCGGGCCTCTATGCCACCGGTCCTCTATGCCACCGGCCTTCATGCCACCGGGTCTCTATGCCAGCGGGCCTCTATGCCAGCGAGCCTCTATGCCACCGGTCCTCTATGCCACCGGTCCTCTATGCCACCGGCCTTCATGCCACCGGGTCTCTATGCCAGCGGGCCTCTATGCCAGCGAGCCTCTATGCCAGCGAGCCTCTATGCCACCGGGCCTCTATGCCACCGGTCCTCTATGCCACCGGCCTTCATGCCACCGGGTCTCTATGCCAGCGGGCCTCTATGCCAGCGAGCCTCTATGCCACCGGGTCTCTATGCCAGCGGGCCTCTATGCCAGCGAGCCTTCATGCCACCGGGTCTCTATGCCAGCGGGCCTCTATGCCAGCGAGCCTCTATGCCACCGGGCCTCTATGTCACCGGTCCTCTATGCCACCGGCCTTCATGCCACCGGGTCTCTATGCCAGCGGGCCTCTATGCCAGCGAGCCTCTATGCCACCGGGCCTCTATGCCACCGGTCCTCTATGCCACCGGCCTTCATGCCACCGGGTCTCTATGCCAGCGGGCCTCTATGCCAGCGGGCCTCTATGCCAGCGAGCCTCTATGCCACCGGGCCTCTATGCCACCGGTCCTCTATGCCACCGGCCTTCATGCCACCGGGTCTCTATGCCACCGGGCCTCTATGCCACCGGCCTTCATGCCACCGGGTCTCTATGCCAGCGGGCCTCTATGCCAGCGAGCCTCTATGCCACCGGGCCTCTATGTCACCGGTCCTCTATGCCACCGGCCTTCATGCCACCGGGTCTCTATGCCACCGAGCCTCTATGCCACCGATCCTCTATGCCACCGGGCCTCTATGTCACCGGTCCTCTATGCCACCGGGCCTCTATGTCACCGGTCCTCTATGCCACCGGCCTTCATGCCACCGGGTCTCTATGCCAGCGAGCCTCTATGCCACCGATCCTCTATGCCACCGGGCCTCTATGTCACCGGTCCTCTATGCCACCGGTCCTCTATGTCACCGGTCCTCTATGCCACCGGCCTTCATGCCACCGGGTCTCTATGCCAGCGAGCCTCTATGCCACCGATCCTCTATGCCACCGGGCCTCTATGTCACCGGTCCTCTATGCCACCGGGCCTCTATGCCACCGGGCCTCTATGTCACCGGTCCTCTATGCCACCGGTCCTCTATGCCACCGGTCCTCTATGCCTTCGGTCCTCTATGCCACCGGTCCTCTATGCCACCGGTCCTCTATGCCACCGGGCCTCTATGCCACCCGGTCTCAGCGGACGGCCTGCGCATGGCACCGGTCGGGCGGCGGTTGAGAAATGATTCATATAAACGAAATAAGCTCGCCTTGTTCGGGCCGTGCCGGCTTTGCCAGGGGCCGTGCCAGGGGGCGTGCGGGGCGTGCGGGGCGTGCGGGGCGCGGCCAAGCGGTCTGACCCGTCCTGTCCGCGCGTGATAAACGGAACGAGTGACGCCGAAGTGGCTCGCGGTACATATTAACACGACGCGGCCTGGCCGGGCCTGGCCGCCTGGTGGGGCTTGACTGGTCATTTGTTATTTTAGCAGAAAGCACGTGTTCCACCCCATCCTGCGAGCGTGGCCACCATGGCCGCCAGGGCCGCCACGGACGATGGCGTGGCGGAGACTCGGCCAAACTCCCTCTCCGCCGGATTGAGACGCGAAAACGTCGGTCCGGGATCCGATCCGATCCGATCCGGGGCGGCGGCCGAGCTGTTCGGAAGCGTCGTGCCGTCGCTCTGTCTCCGTCGCACTCGTTGGGATCCCCACAAGGGTGCGAGGGAGACAGAGGGAGGCGCGCTGCCGGTAATTGGGTTGACCTGTCATAACTCTATTTGGCGCGACCTCTTGCCGCCCCAATCCTGGATCTAGCGCCGCCCGACCCAGCCGGCCCGGCCGCCCGCGCCCGGCCCGGGGCGGAAGGGCCAGACGTGGTGTTGTTTTCAGAGTAAATCTCTCGGCCACGCCGTGCCGCGCCGCGCCACGCCTCGCCACGGCCCGGTCGAAGTGAATGTGAATAACAAGGTCCGATGTGCGTGGCCGAGGGAGAGTGGCCGACGAGCGTGGCGCGCGCGGAGCGGGCCGAGAGAGTGTGCAGGCCGGCCGGGCGCACATCTAACTTCTGTAACTCCATTTGTGATGCGCAGCGGGCGGGTCGCACGCCGCGAGCCGGGCCGGGCCGGGCGCCCCCTGACCACGGCACGGCCCTCGTCACGGCCCACGGCCCCGGCCGACCCACGGCCTCGGCCCTTTCCTTTCACGAGGTAAACGCTTCCCTTTCGGAAAAGGGATTTGCATCACATCTATGAAGAAGGGAGCACTTGATTGGAAGCCGCGTCTCACAAGAACGTCCTTCTGGCTGTCCCTCCGGCGCCCTTGCGATGCTCGCCCAGACTCCATAATTTAGCAGAGCTTCTCGGCGCGAAAAAGAGGCAAAGGGGATGGACGGGGTCGCGCCGGACGAGGCGGAGGACGAGGCCGTGGAGGATGAGGCCGTGGAGGACGAGGCCGCGGAGAACGAGGCCGTGGAGGACAAGGCCGTGGAGGATGAGGCCGTGGAGGACGAGGCCGCGGAGAACGAGGCCGTGGAGGACGAGGCCGTGGAGGATGAGGCCGTGGAGGATGAGGCCGTGGAGGACGAGGCCGTAGTGGACGAGGCTGTGGAGGACGAGGTCGTGGAGGACGAAACCGTGGAGGACGAATCCGTGGAGGGCGAAACCGTGGAGGACGAGGCCGTGGAGGACGAGGCCGTGGAGGACGAGGCCGCGGAGGACGAGGCCGTGGTGGAGGAGACCGTGCGTCGGATGAGAATGTGTGTCACGAGGACAAGGCTGTGGCCTCAGCCGTGGTGGACGAGGCCGTAGTGGACGTTGTCAAAATTGAAAGGAGGTTGAAGTGGGTGAGGCCCTGGAGGACGTAGGCCACAGTGCCGGCTACAGCGGCCAAGGCCGTGGATAGATAGGTCGCGAGGCTTGACTCATTTTAAAGGACAGTGGGAGAAACGGAAGGATCCATAGGCGTGGACCGGAGCCTCCGCCTTGCCGGCCTCGGCCTTCGGATATTTGTTTTGTCCCTTTGGGAGGGCGTTGTGCCGACGGGGAAAAACACGATGAGAAAGATGATGAAAATTGGTCGTCTTTTTGAGACGGCCTCAGCTTCGTTATTCGTCGGTGTAAAAGCCTCAGCCGGACGTAGTCGAGGACGTAGTCGAGGACGTAGTCGAGGACGTAGTCGAGGACGTAGTCGAGGACGTAGTCGAGGACGTAGTCGAGGACGTAGTCGAGGACGTAGTCGGACGCGCTGCGGGGCGGGGAGGCTGAGTCCAGGGGGAGCCCCGCCACCGTGCCGCCACCACGCACCGCACACCGCCGGACATACAAAATGAATTGGTCTGCATCAAGTGAGCCTCTTTTCGATTACCTCCATTTTAATTTTGGATGCCGTCTCTATGTGGCTGCCAGCCGGGCGGGGCGGCTGCCAGCCGGGCGGGGCGGCTGCCAGCCGGGCGGGGCGGCTGCCAGCCGGGCGGGGCGGCTGCCAGCCGGGCGGGGCGGCTGCCAGCTGGGCGGGGCGGCTGCCGCGGCATTGTGGATGGCGGGGATGACTTTGAGCCGCGCTCATTGAATTTGTGGACGGAGCGACAGCCGTAATTCGCGCCTTATAAATCCCGTCCTAGGCTGCGCGCTGCGCCCGGGCCGTGCCAGGCCGTGCCGAGCCAGGGCTTGGCCCGGCCCCGCACCCCATTTAGCACAAAATGAAGATATTTTATGCAGATGACGCGCTGGAACAGCCCGGCCCGGCGCCGCCCGGCCCGGCAGTTGGCGCGGATCTCGCTAATCCCATTCCCAGCGACACCAAGGTGTTCAATTGCCGAGCAGCGAGGCCGGCCGAAGCAGCAGACTGATTCCGAGAGTCGCTTTCGTGGCTCTGTCTCCCTCGCACTCGCTGGGCGTGGCCTATAGGCGCGACAGAGACAGTCTGCTGGCACAGTGAAAATTGTTCGCGCCCTTATAAGCCACACCGCCCTATTGCCCTGTGAAATATTTTTATCCCCCTCCCCTGCCGAGCTAATACCCCTCTGGAAATACGCCCCATATCTTTGATGGGCTCTTGTGGACGAGACGACGGAAGCGGATGAGACGAAGATAATTACAGGGTGGAATTAAATGTTATCAACGGGTTGGGAAACTTTGCACCCTGCTGCCGGCCCCGCCGGCCTGTTAGGGAGGGCCTGCCGAGAGTGATTAGGGCAGTCGGGGAGACGGAGGACTGGGGGCCGGGCGGCTGGAGGGCTGGCGAAGGGCGCCGTCCCGGAGATGAATTTCTTTTCTCGCCCTCCCCGACTTTAGAAATGAAAGGCTGCCGAATGGATTGTATCGTCTGGGCCTGGCGGGGCTGGCGGGGCTGGCAGCCCGTCAGCGCGTCGCTGCCAACGGCCGCCTTCCATCACTGCCGCGCCTGCTCTACAAACTCAAGTGTGTACATAGTACACTTCAACCTGGAGTGTACATGCATGTACACTTCAACCTGGAGTGTACATGCATGTACACTTCAACCTGGAGTGTACATGCATGTACACTTCAACCTGGAGTGTACATGCATGTACACTTCAACCTGGAGTGTACATGCATGTACACTTCAACCTGGAGTGTACTTGGCATGTACACTCCAGGTTGAAGTGTACTTGCCAAGTACATGCCAGGTGGCTCATACCTGCAGGAGCCAGCAACAGTGTACCTGAAGGTATGCGCCACCTGGCGTGTACTTGGCAAGTACACTTCAACCTGGAGTGTACATGCCAAGTACACTCCAGGTTGAAGTGTACTTGCATGTACACTTCAGGTTGAAGTGTACTATGTACACACTTGAGTTTGTAGAGTGACGGCCTGACGGCCGCCTCTCTTGGTTGCAGGCAACGTGTTCGTGATCGCCGCCATCCTGCTGGAGCGCAACCTGCAGAACGTCGCCAACTACCTGATCGTGTCGCTGGCCGTGGCCGACCTCATGGTGGCGTGCCTCGTCATGCCGCTGGGCGCCGTCTACGAGGTGAGCCTCCACGCCAGTGCACCAGAGGCACCAGATGACCGGTGTAGCGGTGGACTAAACTCTAGGACGCGTTTTGAGCTCCAAATTCCCTTACTGGGACTCGTACCGAACGTGTGACCCCACCAATGGCTTGCTCTCCGAACTACGAATCCATTGGTGGGGTCACACGTTCGGTTCGAGTCCTGTTTGGAGACCCTTAAGCTCAAAACGAGTCTGCTGCCTCCACCGGTCTTCTGGCCCACTGTGCACACACACCATTTTTTCGTGTTTTTTTCCCTATGTTGTCTTGGGACCGATGAGCCGAGGCGGGAAAATACGGCTGCTTTATATTGGTGCCAACTCTCGCCGAGTTTGTAGAGTGGATGCTTTGCTGTCGCCTCGAATTCCAAACGCGGCGCGCCTTTCCAGCCTCGACTAACCCCCCCCCCCCCCCCCCGCCCCTTTACTTTCCATCCAGCAGCGTCCCCGGCCTGGATGCCGAAGTTGCCGAAAGCACAATCACATAATGGGGCGCGACAGCTGTGCCGACAGTGGCGCGTCGAGCCCACACCTACCTCTCTGGCGCGGTCGGCCCTACCTCGCCCTACCTGCCTGCAGGCCGGCCGACCCAGGGACACGAGTGCGTGAGAGCGTGTTGCTTCTCCGCGAACACGCTTCGACGTGTGTCGTGCACCACCCGACCGGCATCAGCATAGAGTCCTAGACGAGCACAGAGTGCGCGTCCCCTGGTCCGCCAATTTACAACGAATCGGAGAGCTTTCCCCCCCCTTATTGCTTTTGAACCCTTGAAGGGTACAGTAAGCCCCGGGGCCTGTAGTCAAGCCACTATGGATTCGCTTACTGTACTAGTCTAGCTTCAACGTGTCCGAAGCCATGAGCAAATGAACCAGTCCACGATTTCCTTTCAAAAGGGTGGACTTGGGGAAGCCCTACAACGACATCTAATCAGCAGTGCGTCAGACTGGCGCCTGGCCCGGAGCGCCTTACAAGCGCGCTATAGGCCAGCCGCGGGCACCAGTGCGCGCGTGCTGCCTGCCTGCCGGGCGCTCTGACGGCCACCTTACGCAGTGGGCGCAGGCGGCCAAAACTCTCGACGCGTTTCGGGCTCCAGAATCGCTAACCAGGACTCGAACCGAACCTGTGACCCCACCAACGGATCCCTCGTTCGGAGAGCAATCCATTGGTGAGGCCACACGTTCAGTTTGAGACCTGTCTAGCGACTCTGGAGGTCGAAACGCGTCTAGAGTTTCGGCCGCCTGCGCCGGTCTTCTGGCCGACTGTGCGGCGCGGACCTCCCTGCTTTCCTTCCTTCCTGGCTGCGTACGCAGCGCGTTGTCGCTTTCGCCGCCAAGCTGGCGATGCCGGCCGAACTTTTGCTCGGCCATCCGCGCCACGTCGGCGGGTTGGGGCGCGGCGGTCTTCTTTCCCCCCGAGCCTCACGCCCTCGCTCACGCCAGATGGCGCGGCGGGCGGCGATGAGCGGTGCGGCTCGCTGTCAAATCGAGTTACATTCAAACTCGGCGCGATTAGGACCGGGATTCAGGCGGCGCCTCGTGTGTGTGTGTGTGTGTGTGTGTGTGTGTGTGTGTGTGGTGTGTGTGTGTGTGTGTGTGTGTGTGTGAGAGAGAGAGAGAGAGAGAGAGAGAGAGAGAGAGAGAGAGAGAGAGAGAGAGAGAGAGAGAGAGAGAGAGAGAGCGTTTGTGGGTTGGTGGGCGTGCGTGACCCTCCGTGAGCGTGTGCGTTGTGTTTGCGCTTGGGTCGCGGGGGGGTCGCGGGGGCGGGGGGAAGATGTAGTGTCTCGGTCCACTTGGTCCCCTTTTAAGGCAGGGCGGCGAGCCGTGCTGGCCGGACGTCCATCCTGTGCGGTGGCGCGGCCGGCCGCTGGATTTCATTACTCGAATGGATTTTTAAACTCGCCCCCCCTCCTCTTGTGTCTCCGCTAGTTCCGTCGAGCGAAGCGACGGGGCGCTAGCACGGCGCGCTAGTCTAGTGCAGGCGCGCGCTAGTCTAGTGCAGGCGCGGGCTTGTCTAGTGCAGGCGCGGGCTAGTCTCGTGCGGGCGTGGGCTAGTCTAGTGCAGGCGCGGGCTAGTCTAGTGCAGGCGTGGCTTAGTCTAGTGCAGGCGGGCGCTAGTCTAGTCCAGGCGCGCGCTAGTCTAGTGCAGGCGCGCGCTAGTCTGGTGCAGGCGCTAGTGCGAAGCGCGCCGTCACTGGGTGTGTCGTCCGTTCGTCCGTCCGTCCATTCGACTGGCAGTGTAGCCGCGTCGTAAGTTTTGATTACCGCGCCCTTTTTGCAGACCGCCCCTCCCCTGCTTTTCTCTGCAACGCCAAAGTTTGCAAGTAGTTTTATTCATAAGTTGCAAGTTGCGCGCATCGGCACGACAGACACGCCCTAGGGGCCCCGGCTCGCCCCAGCTCGCCTCGCCTCGGCCAGCACCTGTCGTCGCAGTCCTCTCATCACCCGTTGCGGGTCCAGGCCGTCCAGGCGCCACCACTCTCGGGCCGCAGGCGGAAAAGAGCGGGAAAAGAGCGGAGGAGTACGTTCAAAAATAAAGAAAGGGGCGCCAGACCGACCGCAAAACACGGGGCGAGAGCGGTACCTGTGTGAGCGTGTGTGTGTGTGTGTGTGTGTGCAACAGGCTGCCTCTCCTTCCTCAATTCGCCCCCTTCTTCTTCTTCTTCTTCTTCTTCTTCTGCTTCTTCTTCTTCTTCTTCTTCTTCTTCTTCTTCCGTCTTTTGTCTTGCACGTCACCTGGCCGCATAAGTGCGGCGGGGATCCTTGGCGCGGCGGCGGGGAGTATCGGCGGCATGGAGTCGAAGTTCGATTTCTAAAGAAGGCGCTTTTGATACACACGCGAGCCCCCCCCCCCCCCACACACACACACACACACATGCCGATCCCTACAGTCAGGTTACACATCACACACAGACGCACACGCGCACACGCCGCACCCACACAAAACAGTCAAACAAACAAACAAACAAACAAACAAACAAACAAACGCACACACAAAGCACGCTCTGCACCGCACCACCAGCACGTCGAGCGACAACTGGGGAGAAAAAAGAGGAAAATTAAAACTTTTTGTCGAGAGGAAGAAATAATTGGCGGAACTTGACCGCCTCGTCAGTGCTGCGCGGTGCGGCGCGCGGACCATCGACTTGGTGGACCGGCGGGCGGAGCGTCCGGTTCCGCTCAGCGCGAAGCACCGCGAAGCGCGCCAAGTTTAAAACGGCAGACAGCTCCGTTCACCCTGGCTGATGATTTTATCGCTATCCGGTCGATGGCTACACGAGGCGCTCCTCCCCGCCCCGCCCCGCCCCGCCCCGCCCCGCCCCGCCCCGCCCCGCCCCGCCCCGCCCCGCCCCGCCCCGCCCCGCCCCGCCCCGCCCCGCCCCGCTAACTTGGCCCTTTGGCTGGTGATTGCGAACCCCCCGGTGTAAACTTAAGCTCTTTCAACTACTCCGTCGGCAACTTCTGGCTCAACCTCAGTGGCATAGCGCGGCCCGCGCGGGGTGTACGCTGAAAAATGGCGCTGGAAATCGAGGGCGAAAGTGAAGCCGCCAACGCACAGTGGGCCAGAAGATCGACGCGGAAAGCTGTAGACGCGGTGCTCCAGAGTCGCTAAACAGAACTCGAACCGAACGTGTGACCCCACCACTGGATTCCTCGTTCGACGAGCAATCCATTGGTGGAGTCACTCGCACGGTTCGAGTCCTTCTCAGCGACTCTGGGGCTCCAAACGCGTCCAGAGTTTTGGCCGCCTCCGCCGGTCTTCTGGCAAACCCCGTGTGCGGCGTGGAGCGCCTGCGAGACTCAGGGTAGGCCAGCCCGCCGCGCGTGCACTGTTAAAAATAATCGTAAATTTACGAAATTTTGTAGAACAATTATGTGGTTTTTACACATCATATTTTGTTACGACTCAAGTCGTAAATATACGACTTGAGTCGTAAATGTACGACATATTTGTCGCTAATTTTGATAGCGACACGCTTCGTTTTAAAACGAATAAAGTCGTAAATTTACGACTTAATCGTAAGTTTACGAACAATCGTAAATTATCTTTGGAATATGACGTGCAGTTATGACTTGAGTCGTACATTTGCGACTCTTGTCGTAAATTTGTGTTATAAATCGTAAATGAACGACACAAATCGTAAATAAGTGAGCACAATTGTAACTTTTCGCCTCCTTTTCGGGGATTTCAGGTGTCAAAATATGTAATCGTGATTACGATATTGTCGTAGAGAAATGACTTTTTAGTCGTTCAGTTACGACGAAGTAGTTTAAGAACGATTTCCGTCGCTATCAAAATTAGCGACTTTTTTGTCGCTAATTTACGACAGAATTTCTAACAGTGTGGGTGCGTCCGGCTGCAGCGGCTGCCTACCTGTCATTACCATTACCATTAAGGGCTAGACCACACATGGGTGCGCGGCGCTGCTCCGCCCAGTGTCCACACTGGGAGCCCCAGCCCCGGGCGGCTCTGCGGCCTGGACGGCCTGGCTGGCCTGGGCGGGCGGAGCCGGCGGGACGGACTGGCGGGTCATCCGACCGGCTAATTCACTCACCGCGTGGCAAGTTCGTTAATCCGGTTCCTTTCCATTGGACGAGGGCGGGGCGGGGCGGGGCGGGGCGGGGCGGGGCGGGGCGGGGCGGGGCGGGGCGGGGCGGGGCGGGGCGGGCGTGGCCTCGGTTGCGGTGCGAGGCGGCGGTCACGGCCCCGGCGCAGATAAAGCCGAAACATGCCCAGCGCTCTCTGCCAGAGAGAGAGAGAGAGAGAGAGAGAGAGAGAGAGAGAGAGAGAGAGAGAGAGAGAGAGAGAGAGAGAGAGAGAGAGAGAGAGAGAGAGAGAGGGGCGCCCAACTTGGCGCCCAACTCCAGGAGGCAATGGGGCCGCCACACTCATATTATCGGCGCGTCGCGTCTCGCCGCAAGTTCGCCAGGATCACTCAGGGCGGCGCCCAAGTCGCGCTCAACACTTGGACTTCCCGCGGCGCTAGCTTGGCCTGGCCGGCCTGGCAGTGCGGTGCCTGGGGACCGACCGCGGAAGACGGACAGGACTCGGGGGTCAGCGCTCCGCCCCGCTTCGGCCCACTTCGGCGTGCTCGAGGACGGCACGACATATTTTTCTCCTCCTTCCTTTCACCCGCTTCGCCCGCTTCGCCCGCTTCGCCGCGCCGTTGACAAGGAGGAGAGAGGAAATCCACGGCGGCGACAACGCCCTGGTGAAAGCGGGCTGTAAAAATGTCTGCACGCGGCGGCTCGACACGGCTCGGCCCGGCGATGGCCAGTGGCAGCCTCATTCATCGTTTCGTGTTTTAATTTAGTGCTGGCCTGTGCGCTTTACTGCTCGTCCTTACGGCGTCGGCCTGCAAGGCGTGCCCGGCGTGCCTCGGCGCGGCCGCGGTCGCCTCTCTGGCATTCAGGACGCCGCCGTCAAGCCCATGCGACGCGGGGCGGCCGTCTAGGGCACTACTTCCGTGGCCGCACGAGCACCAGCGCCATCTGGTGGCTCACACAGTGGGCCAGAAGACCGGTGGAGGCGGCCAAAACTCTGGACGCGTTTTGAGCTCCAGAGTCGCTAAACAGGGCTCGAACCCAACGTGTGACCCCACCAATGGATTCCTCTCCGAACGAGGAATCCATTGATGGGGTCACACGTTCGATTTTAGGGTCATTTAGCGATTCTGGAGCACAAAAACGCGTCCGGAATTTGGACCGCCTCCACCGCTCTTCTGGCCCACTGCGTACCCATCTCGAAGTCCGCGACTACTTTCCACCCTCCCGAAAGGAGCAACGCCGCGGGCTTCGATTGGCAGGTACCGCGGCACGACCTGCACCACCTCCACCGCGATGTCGCCTCGACGTCGCCCCGCCCGGTGGCTGTGGCCGGTCCGTGCCGGGACGCCGGGTGAGCATAATACAGACCGGAGAGCTAAGCTGCGGATTAATTGGATAGTCTGTGCCCGGAGTCTTCCTCCCTCCGCGCCTCCGTGCCTCCGTGCCTCCGGGCTCACCCCTCTCTCCGTCTTTCTCTGTCTCTCTCCTTGTCTCTGGTAAAGTGCTTAACCTTCGCGGGCTGCCGAAACACCCTCTTCCGAGTACAGGGCGCCCTCGGCCTCGGCCCCTACACCGTCGGCGCTTTACCCTGTCTACCGCTACACTCTCAGCCTCCGCACTGTCGGCCCCTCCACCATCGGCCCGCCCCAGATGCAGGAGAGGCCTCCACGCCGTGGGAATCAGTGGTTCCGCACACAGTGGGCCAGAAGAACGGCACCGGCGGCCAAAACCCTAGACGCGTTTTGAGCTCCAGGGTCGTTAAACGGGACTCGAACCGAAAGTGTGACCCCACGAAACGATTCCGCATTCGGCTAGCAATCCGTAGGTGGGGTCACACGTTCGGTCGAGTCCCATTCAGGGACTCTGGAGCTCAAAACGCGTCGGGGATTTGGACCACCCCCACCGGTCTTCTGGCCCACTGTTCGACACCCGTTGTCAGTGCGAGCAAATGCCGTCAGCGGACGGCGGGGTGCAGCAGTAAAATGATTCCCCATCCATTAACGAAATCGCGGACCCTTGGCGTCGTCGGAGGGGTCGAGGTCGAGTCGAGGGTACTTGTTTATGGTCTTCCTCTCCTTCTTCCGCGAGCGCCGCGAGCACTACGAGCAGCGAGGGCAGTTGTGGTGGAGGGGAAGGCCCCCATAATTCGTGGCCGTTGCGTAGTATCGCGTACAAGGCAGAGACGGACGAGGCAATAGGGGCCGTCGGGGGAGGGGAGGGGGGGATCAGTGGTGCCACTTGACTGAACCTGGCCTCAAGGAAAGCAGGTTGGGTGGACGGACGAGAGCAAGACTGGAGCGAGAGGGATTTCCTCCTCCTCCGAGGGAGGGGGAGGGGTGGGGGAAGGGGAGGCAGCAGCTCGATCGGATTGACGGCCTTTATACCCTGGCCGGCCTCGGCCGCTTCAGTGCTGCCCGGCGTGCCCGGCCGTGGCCGAAACAAGCATTCTCGCCCAGCCCCCTCGCCCAGCCCCGGCCAGCCCCCCGGCCCCTAATCCGTCCTTGCCTATCGGACGAGCCGCCCTGCCCTGTGTCGTCCACCGCCACCACGGTGTTGATGAGGGCGGTGGGGGACTGGTGCAGCGGTGCGGCGCTGCGAGGCGCCGTGGGGCTCCACGCGCCGCGATGTGCGTAGGCTGACCACTCCCGGACCACCTCCGAATCTCCCCCCCCCCCCCCCCCCCCGGCCCCGCCGGGCCGCCGGGCGCTGCTGCAGCAGTCCGGTCTCAATCGCAGCGTTTCTGGCTTTGATCCCAGCAATAATACGGGTCTGGCTGGCGGCCGGGGCATTCAATGCCTGGCCCGCCTTGAGTGAACGCCTTGGAACGCCGCGGTGGCGGCGCGGCCAAGCAGGCGGCCGGGACCCGCCGGGACCACGCACCGCGCGGAATTCACAGGCCGCCCACTTTTTATTCATTTATTTTTTTTCGGCATTATAATTCCGTTTTTTTTTCCGCGTCATTGCTGTTTGGAACCTGTGGACCTCCTGCCGGCGAGAAAAGGAATAATGAAGCGGCTTCTCTCTCTCTCTCTCTCTCTCTCTCTCTCTCTCTCTCTCTCTCTCTCTCTCTCTCTCTCTCTCTCTCTCTCTCTCTGTCTCTCTCTCGTTTCTTACTTGACGTTGGGAGATACGTTCGAGGACGCCAGCCAGGGAAGCCCAGCCGGCGCGGCGCTATGCCTTAATCGGGGCGAAGCGCGGCGAAGCGGGCCGCCCGTCATGCAATCATCAGCGCCCACAATCACTCACACACACGCCCACAATCACTCACACACACGCGCACAATCACTCACACACACGCGCACAATCACTCACACACACGCACAGTATCACTCACACACGCACGCACACGCACAAGCGCGCGCTCCAGACGCTGGGGCACACAACAGGTTCGCGTGTTGGGCGGCGGCGGTGCCGTTTGTAGGTGCGAAAGGAAGATGGATGGGGCGGCCGTCTAGCCCCCCCCCCCTCCCCCGCTTTCGCACCACCACGTCGAAGAGAAAGCAAGGGGGGGGGAAGCTTGGGGCAAAAACTCCGAGTGACCTGGTAGCGGGCCGGTCGCTTCCCGGTGCCCGAAGGACGTCGGGACGACGGCAAGGTCGTGCAGGGGGAGGCCGCCCTGGCCTGGCCGGCCTCCGCGGCCGTGCTGACAAGGACGGTGCCTCGGCCGTAAAAAGGGCCGCACCCTGCCCGGACGTGCCCTTCCAGCCCTGCAGCCCGAGGGCGAGGCCGAGGGCCCGGCGCCCGGGGGCGGGGCGGGGCGGCGCGGCGCGGCGCGGCGCTAGGCGGGGCGGCCCGGGGGCGGCGCTGGGCTGGAAGTGCTAGTATCGGCAAACGAAATACACAAGGGGCCGCTTGGCTAGCCTCGCTGCCTGCCTTGCCGGGGTGCACGGCGTTGGTGCGTCCGCCAAGGCCCTGGGCTGCCCTAGGCTGCCCGAGGCTGCCCCAGGCCTGGACTGACAATTTCGCGGCGAGGAGCGGAGGACACCGAGTGGGACACCGAGTGGAGCTGGCCGTCGACGGTGCCGGCGGTGGCCGCGGGGGCCATGCATCATCGCGGAGCTCTGCCTCCCCGGGGCCTGCGGTGCGCAGCCTCGCCTCGCGCCGCCCTGTCTGACGGACCGAATAAATGCCGGTACCCAACCTCGCTCTCCATCTTTTAGTCATTATGGCAATGAGATAGGCCTATTGAATATAAATGTGCATGTATAAAGCGTTTGCGTCCCCAGGGAAACCTGCTGCGGCTCCCGCTGCGGCACGGAGGAGAGGCCCTGCTCTGCAGCCTCATTCCGTCGCGCTGTCTCTCTCGCACCTATACGGGACGCCCCATGAGTGCGACAGAGACAGCGCGACGAGAGCGACCCTCGGACCCCGATGGGCCGCCCGGCTCCCGATTCCCGATTCCCCATTTCGATGCGGCCTCCCCTCTCTCTGTGCCCCCTTTTCGCTGTTGCAGATCTCGCAGGGCTGGATCCTGGGGCCCGAGCTGTGCGACATGTGGACGTCCAGCGACGTGCTGTGCTGCACCGCCTCCATCCTGCACCTCGTGGCCATCGCCGTGGACAGGTAAGCGAACGAAGCGCGTCTCTCTTTTGGTGGGCATGGATCCAAGGGGGTGCACAGAAGACCGGTGGATACGCGTTTTGCGCTCCGGCGCCCCTAAAATGTGACTCGAACCTAACGTGCGACCCCACCAATGGATGGATTGCTCTCCAAACGAGGAATCCGTTGGTGGGATCACTCGTTCGGTTCGAGTCCTCTTCAGCGACTCTGGAGCTCAAAACCCGTCTACAGTTGGCTCCGGTCTTCTGGCCCAGGGGCGAGGCGGCGCTGAAGGCGGAGGAAGGTAGGCAACAAACCACACTTTAGCCCTGTAGGCAACTGTTGCGACGACCCTCGCCCCGATTGAAACCGCTCTGGATCCACCCTTGTCTTTTGGCAGCGTTGGTTCGCTGAGGCGTGAGGGCGAGCGCGGCGAGAGCTGGCCGCTGGCCCGGTCAGGCCGGTCGGGCCGGGCAGGCCTTCACAAAGCGCCGAGCAAAGCGCCCCCCGCGCCTCGGCAGGGCGCTGGGGGCGCGGGGCCGTGGGGGCATGGATTCTGATTGATGGTGCTAACTGCCATCTGCACGCCCACGCCACGCCACGCACTCACACATGCACCGCGTTGTGACACGTGTGAATGGCTTGACGCCCGCCCACGCACCAACACACTGGCAAAGTTGCCGCGCCAGCACAGCCAGCGGCCCTTCCTTTCGGCCCGTGTTCGACATCATCATCGTCACCATCGTCACACACGCACACGGGCCGCACAGGCGCGCACCCGGCCCACCCGGCCGGCCGGGTTATGCTCTTGATTCTCTTTACGACGCCGCGTGCATGAATCGCCGACCTCCCCTCCCCTCCTTTCCTCCTCTCCCCTCCCCTCCCCTCCTTTCCTCCCCTCCTTTCCTCCCCTCCCCTCCCCTCCGCCGGCCTTCCGGCCTCCGTTATCGCGTTGCGCTTTCCCTGCAGTTTATGGATGTTCCTCGTCGTCGCCGCCGCCATGCCGCCGCCGTCCTATCGCGGCGCTATTTACAGTGACGCAGGCCGGCCAGCCAGGGCAGGGCAGGGCGGCCCGCCCCGCCGGCGTACGATCGGCAAGCGCTCCGTTAATTTGGCCTGACGGGCCACGCCGCCACCGCTCCGTCAAGCAGACTGGACTTGCCAGAGGACCGGCACAGCCGGCCGAAACTCTAGACGCGTTTTGAGCGCCGTCGCTGAACGGGACTCGAACCGAGCGTGCGGCCCCACCAATGGATTCCTCGTGCGGAGAGCACGTGGGGTCACACGTTCGGTTCGAGTCCTGTTTTGCGACTCTGGAACTCAAACCGCGTCCGGGATTTTGGCCGCCTCGGGCCGCCTCCACCGGTCTTCTGGCCCACTGTGTGCGGTGCCTCGCCGCCTCTCGCCGTCCCGCCCAATCGAGCAGACGTACTGACTGGTTCCGTCGAGTGGCTGGCCACTGGCTGGCCGGCTAGCCACGATATGACAAACGATATCCAACTCCGCCCGCTCCCTCGCTCTGATAAATCGTCGCGGCCGGTCTCCTGTTCGGAGTCGTGCCGTTTTCGTAGCTCTGTCTCTCTCGCACTCTTGGGGCGTCCCATGAAGGTGCGAGAGAGGCCGGGGGCGTCGGCGCCGAGGCAATGCACCACCAAAGTAGTGGCCAGGTGGGAGGAGCAGGGGAGAGAAACATTCTGGGCAAAAGAATGAGAGTTACCCGCTTTGGCCTCCAGAGCTCAACTGGCGTCACGGACAATGCCATTTTCACACCGTGTATCAAAGACCGTTATCTGTCTCTCTATTCCATGATTCTATGTCTTCAGACAAGTCTGAAGTGGTCAAACACTTTTGTCAAAGAGCTTTCGCCATTGGCGATGCGTTTAAGGCCATGTGTGACGACTGGCTCGGTTGTTCGAAGGCGCGAAACGGGTTCGCAGTGCCCCGCCCGGCCCTGCCCTCGTCGGCGTGGGGGTCCTTGCAGCCCACTTTGCCAGCGGCCCCCTTTTCCAGCCCCGCCTCCTTCAGGTCCACTGCACACACCGCGGGCGGGGCGGGGCGGGGCTGGGCAAGGTCACCCCAATTATTGCAGGCCCGCTTTGTGTACGCGTGTCTACACTGCCGCCATGATAAGGACTTGATGAAGCGGCCTCGCGGGGAGGGCCCGCCTCGCCCTGCCTCGCGCCGCCCCGCCCCGCCCGCTCTGTAAAGTAGCTTGATTCGCCCATTAGTGGAGCCACGACGAGAGGGGCGGCGCGCGTTATGAGAAGCGAGGCCAGCGGAGACGAGCCCGGCGGGGCGGGGCGGGGCGGGGCGGGGCGGGGCGGGGCGTGGCGGGGCGCGGCGGCCCAACGATTCTGCCGAGCCGCTCACCGGAGTTCACCTGGAATGTTCAAACCGTGAACTGAAAAGATTTCAAGAAAGTTGTGCGAGCATGTTGAGAGTGCAGACCGAGGCTCCTGAACGCTGAACTGGGTTGCAGGTACTGGGCGGTGACGCAGGTGGACTACATCCACACGCGCAACTCGCAGCGCATCGGCATCATGATCCTGCTGGTGTGGGCCGTGGCGCTGGTGGTGTCGCTGGCGCCGCAGTTCGGCTGGAAGGACCCCGAGTACCTGCACCGGATCAACGTGCAGCAGCGCTGCCTGCCCTCGCAGGACGTGGGCTACCAGATCTTCGCGACCTGCTCCACCTTCTACGTGCCGCTGCTCGTCATCCTGGGCCTCTACTGGAAGATCTTCCAGACGGCGCGCAAGCGCATCCACAAGCGGCAGGCCCTCAAGCACTACGTGGCGCAAGGTAAGCGGCGTGCCTTTTCCGTTTTATCCGTTTCCCTCTCTCCCGTCTCGAGTTGGCAGATGCAAATTGACGTGCCGCCTGTCGCCTGCCCGGCCTGCCCGCAGACAATAACAAGCCCAAGACCAAGCTGCTGAGCACGAAGCGTTTCCTCCGCATCCGGAGGCTGGGCTCTGACTCGGGGGCGGCCTCGGGGGACCCGCTGGTGTCGGCGCTCGTCATGGTGGAGGGGCACTCGACCACGACGGTGGTGGACGAGAACAGCACGGACGGCGACCGGAAGAAGTAAGTGGCGTCGTTAGCGCATTTTTGTGGCTCCGCTTGCGGGCCCGCTCCCTTCGTGCCGCTCGACTGTAGCCGCGACTTGTTGCAGGTCCGAGGCCAGCGAGAGCTCCCCCTCCGCCAAGGAGGCCACCACGGCCTTCACCATCAGCGGGGCGCCCCCGGTGGACGGCGGCTCCTCGGCGTACCTCACTCCCGGCGCCGCGGCCGGCAACAGCGCCCCGGACAAGACCGCCACCCCGAACAACGGGCCGAACAACGGGTCGGCGTCGCTCAGCCAGGGCGGCCCGCCGAGCCGCGCGCCCAGCCCCGAGCCCGGGGCCGGGGGCAAGGTGAACCCGGCCGCGCTGGCCGCCGCCAAGAAGGAGAAGAAGGAGTCCCTGGAGGCGAAGCGCGAGCGCAAGGCGGCCAAGACGCTGGCCATCATCACGGGGGCCTTCGTGGTGTGCTGGCTGCCCTTCTTCATCATGGCGCTGGTGATGCCGCTGTGCGAGTCCTGCCAGATCAACGACCACGTGGCCAGCCTGTTCCTGTGGCTCGGCTACTTCAACTCGACGCTCAACCCCGTCATCTACACCGTGTTCAGCCCCGAGTTCCGGCAGGCCTTCAAGCGCATCCTGTACGGCGGCCGGCACCCGCGCAACGGCCGCGGCCAGGGGCGCGCCAGGGACTTCCGCACGGGGCGGCCGAGGTAGGAGCGGTGCTGTCGCAGACCGGGCTGCTGCCCCTGCCTCAGCAGCTGTCTGTGACCCAGCCGGACCGCCGCGAGCCTGCTGGGCGTGGAGGCCGTGGGGGCCGCGGGGGCCGCGGGCGCGTGGCTCCTACCCATGCCGCGCCACCGCGCCCCGCGAGGCGCCCCGCCATCGTCGTCGTCGTCCTCGGCGGGCGGCGGCGGTCCGTCCTTCCAAGGCAGGGCCTGCGCGGCCTGCGCCTCGAGCCTGGGCAGCGTCGCCTCGGTCGCCTCGGCCGACGAGCCGCTCAGCGACCTCAGCGACTAGCCCTCGGACTAGCCCTCGGACTAGCCCGGCCCGCAAGCCGCACCAGTCGACACCTGTAAGGAAAAGGCACGCAGTAGCGGCCGCGCGATCCAAAAGGCGCTCAGTTGCGGCCCTGCGATCTGAAAGGCACGCAGTTTGCAGCGCGCGATCCAAAAGGCACTCAGTTTGCCCCGCGCGATCCAAAAGACACGCAGTTTACCGCTGGCGGCCGGTAAACTGCGTGTCTTTTGGATCGCGCGGAGCAAACTGAGTGCCTTTTGGATCGCGCGCGGCATACTGCGTGCCTTTCAGATCGCAGGGCCGCAACTGAGCGCCTTTTGGATCGCGCGGCCGCTACTGCGTGCCTTTTCCTTACAGGTGTCGCAGTGTGTCTTGCCTCGAGCCCACGTGCGTGGCCGGGCAAATGTGTGTTCGTGAGTGCGTGCGTGCGTGTGTGTACTAGGAAGCAGCGCTGTGCGCGTGCTTGTAGGAGGACTTAAAATAAAGTCCTGAAGAAATTGTTACTTATTTGCGCCGAGCGTTAAAATATTATATATAAAATTACAATAAATTATTAATAATATCATGTAGATACTCGATGGGAAATATTACAGAGAATAATATATCAACTTGTGATGTTAGCGATAATTATTTTTCATGAATGTGGGAAAAAGATAAAATGGATTTACTAGTGCGCGGACGTTGTATTGGGGTGTTAAATAGGATGCAAATGAAAGCTTCCTGTCATTTGATTGGCTTAAAACACTGTTTTATGCCATACATATACAGGGTAAGTGTGGACGTCCTACGCTTTGATTTTATTATACTAGTCTTAAGTCGTTGATGTGTGTAACATATAGACAGAAAACAGACGCTTATTGCGTTTATGAATTTCGTCCCAGCTGCGGTCCCCAGCTAATATATCACTCTCCTGATCACGACAATATTTATCCTGCTCGGCCCTCGCTGGTAAACGATCAACGCAACCGAGTTAAGCACTTTTTAAGCCACTTTTCATTGGGGAGATTCGCCGAATCTGACGTCTGTTTTCTGTAAATACGAGTAGATTTGCGAATGGATTATTTTCCCGTATGCTTTGGTTTGTATATACATTTTACAGTGGATACTGCTGGCACTAAAAGCCTTATCCATATCACACTACTGTGTCTTTCCAACCGTACTGGTTTACGAGGTCTTCGTAAATCGTACCTAAGTATAGCTAAGCACTTAAGCTTAGAATAGAAATGTAAATATGTTTATACGGATGTTACAAATCTGAGCTAGCCAGATCCATCATGTTTCTTGCAGCTATGGACAAACAGGCTTTAAATATTCTCTTACCTAAAAATCTGCATATCTAAAAATTCTATAAGTGAAAAATATATCTATGGAAGTGTACATACGACCTGTAAATATGCTTGTACAAAAGGTAGAGTTATAAGACATGAGAGTGCGGGAACACAAAGCAACTTAAAGTGACAGAAATATAATTTCATGACTCTGTGGGCCACTCTTTATTACTAAGGGAGCAGCAGACCCATTTATCGCACAGGTGTAAATGGGATCAGGATTTTCTGATCACCTAGCGCTGATCACTTTCTGGATCAGAAAATAGAGGATCAGAAAAAAACCTGATGCTTTTTCGAACACCTTTTCTGATGTTTTTTATCCTGATTCCTGATCACGTTTCTGATCAGCGTGGCTCTGATCACCTCGGGTCTGATCACCACTGGAGTAGAATCAGAAATTGTATTATCAGAAATGTAACGATATCTGACTCAGGATATTTTCACGACCATGAAAGATACGGAGATGAGGCAAACGGCTCTAGGGGGTCGAAACCGAGTCCGATCCAATTCTGCAATCCGTTTTACGCTAGCTCGCCATCAGCTCTCAAAATGCCAGAAGATATGGTCTAAATTTCATGACCTTGAAAATGCCCTAGCCAAATGTCGCGAACATACCGCTCACCAAATTTGAAACAAAAATTCCGAAAACTTTCTGTTTTACAGGCATCTAGATTTTTGAGACATCACGATTTTCTGATAGTTTTGCATGTTATCAGAATGTCTATGTTTTCTGATGACTCTATTCTGATCACTGTCTGATCACTTTTCGGATCAGAAATTTTCCCTGATCACTTACTAGCGATCAGACTTTTTCTCTGATCATTTCACAGTTATCAGAAATTCTTGTAATTCTGATGCCAATTTTTCTGATAGTGCACCAATGATCAGAAAATCCCAAATTTTATCAGAAAAATGGGTAAATGATCAGAAGATCCTGATCCCATTTACACCTGTGCGGTAAAATAGACCACTTTACTCAAAATGCCTTTAATAAATCTATTGAGCAACATTTTTGTGTGTCTCTTAAAAGATAATTTAAAAGTAGTCTCAGCATTTGTGTGAGAATGTAAAATTTCCGTCGTAGAGCTCATAATATTGCGCCTTTACATGTTTGCAGCAGGAGTAGTGGATTTTAAGTCACAACAATTTTAAAACCAAAAACTGATTTTTCTGATTTTTTTTTTTTGGACAAAAGGGTTGCTTAAAGTGTAACGGGAAAAAGAGTTACTAGGTGGGAACCATGAAATTTGTTTAGTTGGAGTTGCTTTTTAAAAGACTGTGGTGCCTATTAGTATCATGTGTTGTGAGTCCCCTTCTGACTGATGTAGAAAGTCTATCCTACTTGAAACATTTATTTTAGAGCTTTCAAGGAATGACGCTAAACTCTGCCATTGGAGGTTGTATTGCCAGTGTTCTAGCCGTGGTTTTGTTTTGTTTACTGTTCTGCGTGTTACAAAAGCATATGGAAATAAAAGTGTGTCAAGGATTAGGTTGCTTTTGATATACATACCGCCCTATCAGACCTCTAACATGTACTAAAATAACATTTTTATTATCAGCACAAGGCTTGCATTCACATCAACCTAGACAAACTCAACAAGAATATCTACAAGCTATTTACAGTACACTTACACATTGAGTATTCATGGTTTCTGCATTATGGCCACGCAAGTCAATTTTGGACAAACAATTTATTTGATACGAAACTACGTCGGAAATTATTCGCGGTGCACACACCAAAAAATCTAAACACATTTTCTAGTTCTTCTCGTCCACATTCGGAAAGCATCGATGATGACACACTATCATTGCGTCTAGCTGCGCGGAAAAGCCAAATTGAGACCATGTTCTACAAATGAATTTAACATATACACAGCTTTCAACAGATTTACCTTTCAAAATACGTCTTTCAGCGTGCAGCACGCCAGATCCATGCACGGGAACTTTGAAAAGAGTCCAGTTACACAACTTTCCATATCAAAAGACCTTACTTCAGGATTGTAGATCTTTAGCCACACAAAACTGCACGCACACGCAAAAGTCGTAACATTGAGGCCAAGAACTGTGCGTTTATATGGTCGTTGACGTTAGCCAAATTGCAAATGTCTACACAAGTAGTATGCAAGTTTACAAAGAAAAGACAGTGACACAGTGAGAGCGTCGAAGATGGCACGGAATCACATAAACAACATAGGGCGCATCACCCGTTTCTAGCACCAAACCGTCAGATGACCTCTGCGCTTATGCAAGGCCAGAGAGAGCAAAGTAGAAACGATAATTATTGCAGCTATACACTCTCATTCCAGGAACGTGACATCACGTTGAAACGAACGTGACAAAATGTCACGTTTGTTTGAGCATTGTGTCACATTCGGTTGGGTGTGAATTGGCCAAAAATCAGCGTGTTCACATTCAAACGAACGTGACACAATGCTCAAACGAACGTGACATTTTGTCACGTTCGTTTCAACGTGATGTCACGTTCCTGGAATGAGAGTGTAACATATCACAGGGTACGCTTAACAAAAACATTTTTTTCTAGACGGGCATAAAGAGATGAGCAGAGTGACACTTTCTTGCTTTGGTTCCATCAAGAAATTCTAATACAAATTTTCTCAACCACGACTAAATTTAAAGTTAATGCCATACAAGAGCATCATCGATTGTCGAGGGTTCAAGGCTTCACTTGCAGCGCACGGCGAGATAGTCCACGAATACCGCCTCACGTTTCTAACATTTTAGCAATAATTCAAAGTCCAATGTAGAAGCAAAAATTGAAGCCACATTTTCTTTGCCGGTCTTCCCATCAAACCAGTTTCAGTCCCTCCAGGTCACCGTTACAGACAACAACGTCACAGAAAAAGAGATGCCTCAATCGAGACCCATGAGAGCACCGCAAAAACAATAAAATTGGAAAATAAGAAAAGTTTTTATCAGACGATAAGTTTCACAGCCGCGTTGTCCCCCTCCTCGCCCCAGACCGTCACAGACTCCGCTCGCCGCGGCACGGCGGGCACGGCCAGCGCAGCCTGCGACAGCACCGCCCCTACCGCCGGCCGCTCGTCCGGAAGTCCCTGGTCCGGCCGCGGCCGTTGCGCGGGTGCCGGCCGCCGTACAGGATGCGCTTGAAGGCCTGCCGGAACTCGGGGCTGAACACGGTGTAGATGACGGGGTTGAGCGTCGAGTTGAAGTAGCCGAGCCACAGGAAGAAGCTGGCGAGGTGCGGGTTGATCTCGCACTGCGCGCACAGCGGCATGAGCAGCGCCATGATGAAGAAGGGCAGCCAGCACACCACGAAGGCCCCCGTGATGATGGCCAGCGTCTTGGCTGCCTTGCGCTCGCGCTTCGCCTCCAGCGTCTCCCGCTTCTCCTTGCGCGACACGATGGGGTTCTGCTTGATCATCTCCACGGCGCGCTTCACCGTCATCTCATTGCGGTTCTCCGAGGCGGGCGGCTCCGTGGCGCTGGACGGCAGCGTGAGCACGGCCCCCGCCGCCACCACGGAGAGGCACGTGTCGCCGGGCAGTGTGCCGGGCTGCGGCTCGTACGACGTGTACACGTCCTCGGAGTCCTGCCGCACCAGCGCCGTCACCTGCACCAACCCGTGTTTTAGCACAACAACTCGCAGGCCGTGAATACACACTCCAAGGGCCATACACAAATGTAATGGCCGAAAAGAGGCCATGCACAAATGTATGACCGTAATAAGGGTGACCCGTAAAGGGTCAAACTCAAATGTATGACCGAAAAAAGGTCAGACCTCAGCGACACTGGCCCTCTATCGACCTTAATCAATAATACAAAAAAGTATGACCCTCATTCAGTCATACATTGAAGTATGACCCTTTTTCGGTCATACATTTCAGAAGGGTCAAAAGTCTCACCTTCCAATTTTCAGCGAGTTTCGAGTGTTTTTAATACTGTAATTATCGGTAAAAATACCTACCGCCCAACGGAGTACCATCGATGGCATTTTGCGCCTCACCTTGGTGGCGGACGACTCGGCGTCGGCCTCGAGGACCGTGGACGTGGACTGGCCCTCGGGCTGGCAGCCCGCCCCCGCGCGCACCGACGAGTTCTTGCTGTTGTTGGTCTCCACCGACGAGTAGCGCCGCATGCGAAGGAAGCGCCGCTTGCAGACCACGTTGGCGACGCCCGTCGTGGGCAGGATGGCCGTGGCTGCAACGCAGGAGCGTTCATGGCGGGGCTCGGGGCGCCGTAAGAGAGACAGAGAGAGAGAGAGAGAGGGATGCTTGCCGAGACCCGCACCGTACAGCCCCTGCGCCACGGCGTTGCGCTGCGCGTGCCGGCGGTGGATGCGTCGCCGCGCCGTCTGGAAGATGTTCCAGTAGAGGCCCAGGATGACTAGCAGCGGCACGTAGAAGGTGGAGCAGGTCGCGAAGATCTGGTAGCCCACGTCCTGCGAGGGCAGGCAGCGCTGCTGCACGTTGATCCGGTGCAGGTAGTCCACGTCCTTCCAGCCGAACTGCGGCGCCAGCGACACCACCAGCGCCACGGCCCACACCACCACGATCATGGCCACGATGCGCTGCTTGTTGCGCGTGTGGATGTAGTCCACGTTGGTCACCGCCCAGTACCTGCGGGCCGGGAGCGGGCACCTCAAGTCCCTTTTCCAAGCGGGGCGGACTGGCGGACTGGCGCACAGTGGGCCAGAAGGCCGGTGGAGGCGGTGAAAACGCTAGACCGAGCTCTAGACGCGTTTTGAGCTCCGCAGAGTTGCTGAATGGGACTCGAACCGAACGTGTGACCCCACCAATGGATTCCTCGTTCGGACAGCAATCCATTGGTGGGGTCACACGTTCGGTTCGGGACCTGTTTAGTGACTCTTAAGCTCAAAACGCGTCTTGAGTTTTGGCCGCCGGCGCCGCCGGTCTTCTGGCCCACTGCCACTTGCGGCGGGCAGACCTGTCCATGGCGATGGCCACGAGGTGCAGGATGGAGGCGGTGCAGCACAGCACGTCGCTGGACGTCCACATGTCGCACAGCTCGGGCCCCAGGATCCAGCCCTGCGAGATCTGCAACACAGACCGCCCAGTCAGTGCATTATCTAACAATTCTTATAATTATAATAATCTCTAAATATTCGCTGAAAAAGGTTCCGGTACCGACGGCTGCCGTGAAAATCTCAATCATATTTTTTTTTTTCAAAACGGAAACGGGAAAGCCTACAGTGGGCCATCGTAGTGCGGCGGCGCTACCGCAGGGCGAGTGCACACGCACATAAACACACACACACAAACACACACACAGGGCTCTGCTCAGCGAACGGCTATCCGTAATTTTATGGAGAGCGTTGAGAGGCGCTCGCCTCGCGTGCTTTTCCAGAAACAGGCGGCGAACTAAAATCAGTTTACGCACGGGGCAGGCCGCCCTAGGCAGGCTGCACGCAAAAAAATAATTTTCATCAGAGCTAAAAAATTAGCACCCGCACCAATAAGATTAGCTCTATAGGCGCAGCTAATTTTTTAACTGTGTGGCTAAAAAGTGTTAGCTGGGCGATTCTAGCAACGGATCTAACGGCCTAGCTGGAACTGTAAGGAATCCTTAGCTGTAAACCAATCAAATCTTGCTGATGAACTACTCAAGTTGTTTGCCCCCTAGTTATTCCGAGATGAAAAGATGAAACCATCATTACGAATAATGTCTACTCCACGTGGTCTAACGGTCACGGACACATCTTAAGTAGGACGGAGTCGTCAGTGACCCTTGACGCGCTCACGAATCACTCAGAATTGCCCGCTGGAGTCAAGTGTTACTCCAGCAGGGGAAGCGATCCGCCACCCAGGCTAAAAAAACCATGAGCTGGGCCATGGGGATGGCTGACCATGGTGATCCGAGATTCACCATGGTCACAAGATTTTGCCCATGGAGAAATGCCCATGGTGTTCAGGACCATGGGGAGGCCAGCCATGGGGATGCGAACCATGGGGATGCGAACCATGGGGATGCGAGCCATGGGGATGCGAGCACCATGGGGGCGGCTGCTCCATGGTGAACTGCCTCATGGGGAATGAAGGACGTGTCTAGCGCATACCTTGCGAGCAACAGACATCTCGGTCACCGATCAAAATTCGATGCTACGCACGATGGTGCTGTCGGCGTCTCTCTATCTCAAAATATTAAAAAGTTACGGATTATTTCTGAATTAACTCTGGAGACTTCAACGCACGAGGAGGGCGACATTCACCATGGTGCGAACGCCACCATGGTGACCAGCACCATGGGAAGACCTCCACCATGGTCTGGACCGCCGCACCATGGTGGTTCTCCCCATGGTCCGACCTGCACCATGGTCGAGACCGCCGCACCATGGTGGTTCTCCCCATGGTCCGACTTCCACCATGGGGAAGCCCGTTAAACCATGGGGATGGCAACTTCCACCATGGGGGACAGCCCTATGGCCATGGAAATTCACCATGACGACCATGGTTTTTTTAGTCTGGGCACCTGGCAGACAATTGTACAAAACGACGGCGCCCAGACTAAGTGAAAACGCATGCTACACTGTCTACCGCGCGCGAGCGGCGGCGCGACGCGCGCAGCGCACTCTCGCGGCGATCTCCTCCACCGCGACGGCGACTGGACGACGATGACATCAACTGGTCTCGTCAGATCGCATTTAGCTTGTTTACTAGAAATTTTTGAAGGCTTGCAAACAATAGTTAGCAGCCCACGACTAGCAGTATTAACAAACAAAATTGGCTATATCCGCCACAAATTTGTGTTTTGCGAGAGTGGTTGCTTGGCAGGTAACCAGCTAACCATCTGGCCGCGCGCACCTGAGGTCGCTTGTAGCTGTGCTAGTTTTTTAGCGCCCGTGCTAAAAACGATCTGTTAAAAAAATTAGCACGGGTCTGATTTATATTTTTTTGCGTGTGCTGAGGCGGGCCGGCGTCATAAAAGCAACCGCGCCTCACGTCAGCTCGACAGCGATAGCAGCGCCTCGCACGCCTGTGTGTGTGTGTGTGTGTGTGTGTTAGTTTGTGCGTGTAAGTGTTTGCGTCAGTGTGGTTGTAGTCGAGAGAGACAGACAGACGTGCAGAGAAAGAGACAGAGGGAAGAGAGCATGCGTGTGCGCCTCGCGTCGCGTGCGCCTCGGAGGAGGCCGCCTCAGTCTACCACTTTGTCCACGGGGGCGGCGGGGACGCGCTCGACGGCCATCTGGAGCCTCCGGGAGCGACGGTCCAACTGGAAACATCTCTCCGCGGCAGCCTGGGGCTGGAACTCTTCCTGGAAACCTCTCTCGGCGAGGCCCCAATGCTTCGCACGCATGGCCTGCCACGGCAGGTGGCGACGGTCACGCACGCGCGCGCACACACACACACACACACACACACACACACACACACACACACACACACACACACACGCAGACGTGTGTCGGGGCGACAAAGTGATGACGTCGGCCTGTGAGGCTCATATTCCTAATAGGCCGACTGGCACATTGTGCCGGCCGGCAAAGGTAGATCCAAATGGATTGCTCCTCGATGTACATTGACAGCAGCGGGATCATTAACGGCTGGGGCGGCGGGCGGCGGCAGCGGGCGATTTTGCCTTCGGCGAGGCGGTGCCACCCGGCTATGGTATGCAAGAATAGAAATGTCGGGTGGAAATGTTGAATAGAAGTATTCAACAAGTGGATGAAAACGTCGTGTCGGGAGTGAGTCAACTGGAACGGGTGAAAATAGGATTTTGCAGTAATGATATTGGTATAAGTGTCTCTAGGAGTGGAAATAGGAAACAGGTCGACAGACTGACGTGAGCGGTAGGTCCGCCACATCAAAAAAAAATCACTGAACTCCTTTCATGCACGCCTGAAAAACCTGGCAATGGACCCATGCGACGGACTGGACTAACCGCTCTGGCTGCCAAACGATCCTGGAGAGCATTGCATCGCTCTGTCGCACTCCTTGGGCGTCCCGTGGGCAAGGCCGTGGGCAAGGCCGTGGGCAAGGCCGTGGGCAAGGCCGTGGGCAAGGCCGTGGGCAAGGCCGTGGGCAAGGCCGTGGGCAAGGCCGTGGGCAAGGCCGTGGGCAAGGCCGTGGGCAAGGCCGTGGGCAAGGCCGTGGGCAAGGCCGTGGGCAAGGCCGTGGGCAAGGCCGTGGGCAAGGCCGTGGGCAAGGCCGTGGGCAAGGCCGTGGGCAAGGCCGTGGGCAAGGCCGTGGGCAAGGCCGTGGGCAAGGCCGTGGGCAAGGCCGTGGGCAAGGCCGTGGGCAAGGCCGTGGGCAAGGCCGTGGGCAAGGCCGTGGGCAAGGCCGTGGGCAAGGCCGTGGGCAAGGCCGTGGGCAAGGCCGTGGGCAAGGCCGTGGGCAAGGCCGTGGGCAAGGCCGTGGGCAAGGCCGTGGGGCCGCGAGAGAGACAGAGCAAGGAAACGCCCCCTTTCCTCCCCCCCTTGCAGGTGATGTACAGCATTCGTATCGCGTTTTCCGCGTAATTCACGTGTAAGTGGAGAGGGTTATGAGCAGCGCGAGCGCCGTAAGCTGAGTCGCGTCGTTAGGGAAAGGAAGGGAGCCTCGCGGTGCCGCTGGGCGCTGCTAGCCTAGCACGGTGGGCCAGAAGACCGGTGGAGGCGGCCAAGACTCTAGACGCGTTTTGAGCTCCAGAGTCGCCAAACAGGACTCGAACCGAACGCGTGACCCCACCAATGGATTGCTCTCCCAACGAGGAATCCATTGGTGGGGTCACACGTGCGGTTCGAGTCCCGTCTAGCGACTCTGGAGCTCCGTCCAGGATTTGGGCCGATTTGGGCCGCGTGCGCTGGTCTTGTGACAAATCCACTGTGCGCTTGCTGGCCTTCGACGAACCAAACTGGCTGCCCATCGAGGAGGCGGACACGGTCCTGGCCGTCCAGGGCCTCGGCCGCAGCAGATGCCGCTGCTGGCCTGGGGGCAGCCCTGGGGGCAGCTTGGCGGCGTTGGCGGCGCTCGGCGACTCCCGAGTGACTGGGGGTCCGACCGGGGCCACAAGCACCGCCAGCAAGGCAAGCAGTCCGAGTGCCACGGCAGTGCCTCGGCAGGGCCGCTCGTTAAAGTACAGCGAGCTGTTTGGTGGGTGACCTAACAGCCGCAAACAACTAACTTTAGACTGGATGCAATGCTCCAACTTGCGGTCAGCCCGCTGTGACGCTGCGGCCCGCTGCGGTGCCGTGGCGGTGCCGAAGGCCGGCCCAGCCCGTACACTGCAAGAAACCGAGGTCCAGTTTCTTAGCGGCGTCCTAAGTGGGCCGCCAAATTACGCCGCGTTCGACCTGAGTCTCCCCCCCCCCCTTTCCCTCCGAGTTTCGGGACAGGCGGTGCCAGCAGGCAGCGTAGGGACAAACTTGCGATCGCCGTGTTCGAGCGGGAGTTGGCTCAGAAATTCGCCATTTTGTGTGTTGTGAGTGAGGTATGCTTCGCTTGCCGCCCACGACGAAAATTAACAATGCGGTTCCTCTCTTTTTTTGGCGGGTAAATGGAATTTCCTTGATCTTGAAATGCGCGCAAGCGGTATCAGAAAATGCGCCCTCGGGCCGCTCCTCTGTGTCGACGGCTCAGGCCCTGCGCCCCGCAGCTCCGGTGCCGGAAATTTGGCGGCCGTTTTGGGCCGCGCGGCGCCAGAGCCCTGCAGCCCTGCAGGTGAAGGGCGAAGGGTGGGGGGAGGGCGCCGCACAGTGGGCCAGAAGACCGGCGGAGGCGGTCGCAATGGCGGATCTAGAGCCGGCCTGAGGGGGGTGCAAGAGAGCACTTTTGGTGGGCAAAGTGTGGCTTTTTGCCTATCTTTCAGGAGGCCATCTTGTAGGTGCCAAGGGGAGGAGGCCCGAGGGGTGATCCACTGTAAGATTTTGTACACAATGATTGCGGGAATGTGCATAAAGAATGTGTACAAGACTTTTGGCATAATTGTCGCACATATGTTGCCTACTTGCAGGCGTTTCAGCCTCCTGAACGCGGAGTGTGTTCAAATTTTGTACATGTGGGAAGTCGTTCCTCTGGCACCCCCCCCCCCCCCCCCCCTCCTGAATCCACGCCTGCCTCGGACTGTCCCTTAGACTGTCGGGCGCGGTACAACGGCACCTCGAGCGAGGCGCTCGCCACACGCCAAGTTGGGCCGAGGCGACTGAGGCAGAGGCGGAGCGGGGCGGGGCGGGGCGGGGCGGGGCGGGGCGGGGCGGGGCGGGGCGGGGCCGACTTGGACCGAAGGCAGTTTCAACTTGTGTCAACGGCGCGCCGAGAACGGGGAATGGCCTGGACGAGGGCGAGTAACGGTTCGGACAAAAAAGGGGGGAAACTCTCATTTGCGGCGCACTTTGAATTTTTGGAGGCCAGTGTGGAGACTAACGTGCAAATTTAAGAAGTTGCGAGGTCGCTATTAGCTCGAACCAAAGAGCTCAGAACCTGGCATGGGTTTAAGGAAGAACGGGGTGATTACCACCTTTTTTAGGGTGGTGCCTGAAATGTAGACAACATAAACACTTCGTTGCCCTTCTGAGTAGGCAAAAAAAAACACTATATCGACCCCTCCCAGTAAAAATCCTAGATCCGCGCCAGCAGACTGATTCCGAGAGTCGCTTTCGTCACTCTGTCTCTCTCGCACCCATGGGTCGTCCCGTATAGAGAGACAGAGCGATGGGCACGACTTGCAGCTCGGATAGCTCCAAGCCACCACCACAGCAGAAGACTCACCTCGTAGACGGCGCCCAGCGGCATGACGAGGCACGCCACCATGAGGTCGGCCACGGCCAGCGACACGATCAGGTAGTTGGCGACGCTCTGCAGGTTGCGCTCCAGCAGGATGGCGGCGATCACGAACACGTTGCCTGGGGGCAGCAGTGCGCCGGGGCGTCAAACAGTGTGGTAGCTCCGCCATGTTGCCGCAGCGCTGTCGGTGTCTGCAGCAGGCTGAGCACTGCTCTCGTCGCACAGTGGGCCAGAAGACCGGTGCGGCCAAAACGCTAGATGCGTTTTTCAGCTCCAGAGTCGCTAAACAGGACTCGAACCGAGCGTGTGACCCCACCAATGGATTCCTCGTGCGGAGAGCAAGCCATTGGTGGGGTCACACGTTCAGTTCGAGTCCTGTTCAGTGACTCTGGAGCTCCAAACGCGTCTAGCCGCCGGCGCCGGTCTTCCGGCCCACTGTGCGCCGCGTCGCGTTCCATCTGCATGATGACTGCCGCCCCGATAGACGGCGCAGGTCGCAGGTGTCGCGGCAGAACCGTCGATCCGCTCCAATTCGAATTCGCGCGCCAAAATAAGGAAAAACAAAGCGCGCGGAATCTCGGCGTGCGCCGCCGTGAATTCGCAACGAAGGACGGCGCGGCGCGGCGTGGCGTGGCACGGCACTGTACCGCAAGGCACGGCATGGCACTGCAAGGCACGGCACTGCAAGGTACGTCACGGCACTGCAAGGCTCAGCACGACGGTGCGGCGTACCACGAGACGACAGCGAGTGCTCGAGCAGTGCATGCTACACACCCACCAGGTTTAAGGATTGCGATAAATATTTCATTTCACCTTGGAATACGGGAACGGATGAGGATGCGGACGGGGAGTGGGCGAATGGGGAGAGGAGGGGGGGGGGGGGGAGGGGGTGTCCCGGAGGCATGCAACCGCAGTCGAGCTCCACGTCGAGGTCTGAATGCTGAGTCCTCGGGTACCCGGCAGTGCCGGCGGTACCGGCCTGCAAGCATGCTGCAAGGTACACCGCGATGCACCGCCCCGCTGCCCAAAGCACCAAAGCGTGCGCCAGGCGTGCGCCAAAAGACGAGATCGCGACGACATCCGCTGACGAGTGCAGCGACTGGAGGGAGAAGGAAAATAATACGAAGTGAAGCACCCGCAGCACCGGCACCGCGGCACAGACATTTTCGTCGCTCTGTCTCTCTCGCACTCATGGGTCGTCCAGTAGGAGAGACAGAGACAGAGTGACGACTCTCGGAATCAGTCTGCAGGCTGGTCGAGGCTGGTGCGGTAGGGCCGGGCCGCCCCCGGACAGTGGGCCAGAAGACCGGCGGAGGCGGTCAAAATCCCGGCCGCGTTTTGAGCTCCAGAGTCCCTAAATGGGACTCGAACCGAAGGTGTAACCCCCTCATTGGATTGCTCTTCGAATGAGAAATCGGTTGGTGGGGTCACACGCTCGGTTCGATCCTGTTTAGCGATTCCAAAGCTCAAAACGCGTCTCGAATTTTGGCCACCGGCGCCGGTCTTCCGGCCCACTGTGCCACGTCGCCCTCATCAAGCGTCGCTCCGTCGCTCCGAGGAGCTTTGGCTGTGGACACAGTGCCTCCATGCCTCCAATGCGCCGTCCCGCGCGGCGCCGCGCATGTGGAAACGCTTCAACGGGGACGGCGGCGGCGGGACGGCACGGCACACAGAGCCGGCGCCGCGCACCGCACTCGCTCCGTCTCTCTCGCACTCACGGGGCGCTGGGCAGGGGTGCGAGGGAGACAGAATCAGTCCGCAGCCCCGCCGCACCGAGGACGGCCGAGGTCCACTTGGCTTGGCCTGCCCGGCCATTCTGCAGTCTCGACCCTTCCCTTCCCTTCCCACATACACACTCACTGTCACACCCACGCACCACCATGGTGCACCATTCACACCAACGCGGCCAAATGTTTGCCTGCAGCACGTCCCGCGGCAGGCATATCATAATCCTGGTAGCACTGCCGTCGCGGCGTGGCATTGCGCGGCGGGGTGTGGCGGGGTGGGGTGGGCCGGGGTGGGCCGGGGTGGGGCGGGGTGGGGCGGGCCGGGGTGGGGTGGGGCGGGGTGGGCCGGGGTGGGCCGGGGTGTGAGGCGCCGTCTGCTCGCACGGCTATTATCCAAATTTGATGCACAAGCTGCTAGCTGGGCGCGAGGCTGGGCGGGGCGCCCTGAAAGCACACTGCTTCTCGAGTCCGCCCGGAGAAGGGCTCCTCCGGCACTCCAGACTCCGCAGCGCTTGGCGCCGCTCGGCGCTCCGCACGCATTTGGCGGTCGTCGCCGCGGCGTTGTCTTTGCATTGCTGATTGCCTGCCGGCTGCTCGCTCGGCGAACGGAAAACTAAAACGGTGCCGGGATTTGAACCCGCGCCCGCGCCGCACGCAGGCAGGTGGCTGGCCGACAGAGGGAGAAAAACTGGCAAAGGCCTCGGCGGCGGCGGGTGTCGAACCCGCGACACGCGGTGCGGCGGGTCGCCCGCGGGCTCACCTCCGCGCCTCGGACGGGCCGAGTGGGCCGAGTGTGCCGTGTTAACAGGTTCCCCTGCCGGCCGTCATTACTCAGACAAAAAGCACCCGGCTTGCCCAGCAGACTGCTTCCGAGAGTCGCTCTGTCTCTCTCGCACGCATGGGGCGCCCCGCACGGGAGCGAGAGAGACAGAGCGACGCAGGCGACTCTCGGAATTAGTCCACAGGCGTGGCGTGCCTCGCGTGTCCACCATTAGGACCAGGACCGCCAGGACGCCGTGCCGCCGTGCTGCTAATTGCCACGCTTTGTGCTCCCCGTGCTTCGGCCCTTTTTGTTGTCCGGCGTCGCGTCGCGCCCCGTCTGTCTCGCAAGCAGCGCGGCGTCTCGTCTTGTCGCGAGGTTTGCAAGCAGCGCGGAGCAGCGCCAGACTCGTTCCGAGCGTCGTTTACGTCGCTCTGTCCCTCTCGCACTCACGCGGCGCCCCGTACAGGCGCGAGAGAGACGGAGAGGCGAAAACGACTCTCGGAATCAGTCCACCCGGCCGCCTCCTGGAAGCACTCCTGGAGGGGCCTGGAAGGACTCGGGGCCGTAATGGGCGCCCCGTTGTACTCACCGATGACGGTGGCCAGGATGAGCAGCGCCAGCATCAGCGACACGGACACCATGAGCACGTAGCTCTCGTCCTGCGCGTCCAGGGCCGTGGCGTTGCGGAGGCTCGCGTTGACGTCCTCGGCGGCGTCCAGTGAGGTGTCGCTGGGCTCCACCACCACGCCGCCCAGGCTGGCCAGCGAGCTGGCCGCGGACACCAGCAGCCCGGACAGCGTCGTCTCCGCCGCCATGGAGACCGTGGCCGTGGCCGTGGAGGGCCCCAGCGTGGCGGCGGCCGGCGGGCACGGCGCCGAGCCGCAGTCGGGGGGCGTCATGCCGACCTGCCGGACAGGGAGGCACGGCGCGGCCGCCGTTAAGCACAGGCAGCTGAAACTTTGATCGGCGATAGGCCGCCGCGCGCGCCAAGCGCACCACGCGGGCCGTTGTCGCATGGCGTAGCGCCGCATGGGGGCCACCCTACCGCAAGGCGACCCCGGCTGTGCAGAATCCGCACGGACCACTGATGTATGGCGGGCACGAGGCCACCTGACGAACAGGATTTTGTGTGTGTGTGTGTGTGTGTGTGTGTGTGTGTGTGTGTGTGTGTGTGTGTGTGTGTGTGTGTGTGTGTTCGCGTAGGATAGGCCCAAAGGCACGGCCGCTCAAACATTCAGGGACTACAATAAATCCAGTGCTGTTAAAGTTAATTTAACGATTAACGAAGTTACTTAACGCCGTTAACGTTAATTAACGAACTAACGTTAACTCGTTAAAAATGTCAGGATGTCTTAACGTTAACGAGTTAAGTTAAGTAGGAATGTTAACTTCTTAACGCCGTTAACGTGTAGTTTGTTCGTCTGTGTATACATATTGTGCCGACTTTTGGGTCATACAGTATGTAGAATTGATGTCTTGGGTAAAAGAAAATGAACAAAACCTCAATTTTTGTTAAAGGTTTTGAAAGTTAGTTATTTCTTTGCGTCTTTAGAACTGGAAATCTGTCAAAAACCAAGAAACCATACAACATCTTCAGTTCATCAAAAAGTAAAACTAACTTTAACTTCGTTAATGCGTTAATTTAACGTTAACTCGTTAACTTATGCTGCAGAGCCTTAACTTTAACGAGTACGTTAATTCGGTTGGGTTAACGGCTTAACTTTAACTCGTTAACAAAAAAAATTAACTTCAACAGCACTGAATAAATCCATACCGCAGACGGAGAATATCCAACCCTGCTATTCGTTCCGGCGCGGTCGTTTGTGGTGGTGGTGTGTGTGTGTGTGTGGGGGGGGGGGGGGGGTGTCTGATCCACGACGAAGCCACACGTGCCCGTGATGGCGTGGACGTGCGCGCGGCCGGCCCACTGCCGCGAGCGATTCCGGACAGACATTTCGTCGTTGTCTCTCTCGCACTCGCGGGGCGTCCCGGGGCGCGGGGAGTGCGACGGCGATGCGGCCTCTTCGAAGCCAGCCCGCTGCGGCGTGCATGCGGCGCAGCGGCCGAGCGCGTTCCAAACAAAATTTACGTTACTTTGGCGGCGAGCGCGCATTAGCACATCAAGTGATGGATTTAATATGTATTCCGCGGCTCGGCGCGGCTCGGCTCGGCGCGAGCGGGCACGTTTTGTTTGCGGATGAAACGCGCTTCAATGTGCTCCGCGGTGCTTCGGCTTGCACCAGCTTGCCTCGGCCCTCGACGCGGCCCTGGGCCCTGCCATGGGCCCTGCCCAGCCCAGAGGGCTGAGCCCCGGCGGGGGCTGCTGCAGCAGCGCACAGTGGGCCAGAAGACCGGTACAGGCGGCCAAAACTCTAGACGCGTTTTGAGCTCCAGAGTCGCTATACAGGACTTGAACCGAACGAGTGACCCCACCAATGAACTGCTCTCCGAACGAGGAATCCATTGGTGGGGTCACACGCTCGGTTCGAGTCCCATTTAGCGACTCTGGAGCTCAAAACGCGTTTAGAGTTTTGTCCGCCTCCACCGGTCTTCTGGCCCACTGTGCAGCGGCTCTGCAAGGCTGCAGCGCAGACCTGCACACTGATTTCAAGAGTCGCTGTCGTCGCTCTGACTCCCTCCCACCTAGGCGGGGCGCCCCATGAGTGCGAGAGAGACAGGGCGACGAAAACGACTCTCGGAATCAGTCTGCTGAAGCCGCGGCGCCCACCTCCTTGAGGGCTGCAGCAGGCAGGCCGGCAGGGCTGCTCTGGAACGCACCGCCGCATGGAAATTTGCCGCTAAAACTTACTTTCCTCAAGAACGATATATTCTCTCACTGCTGACAGCTCAAAAACAACCATCGCTCCCGACTTACGCCTCGGCGTGGCGCGGGGGCGGGGCGGGGCGGGGCGGGGTGCTTGCGAGCGGTGCAAAGATTCTCATTTTCAACGAGGCGGGGTGAGGCGGGGGAGGGTAAACACCACCCGGCTTTGCGTCATCGTGAGCTGGGACAAGCCGGGTGAGTATATCCGCGAACAGAGACACCTTTCGGTCAGGGCGACGTTGACGGAAGCGGGTGACGATTTTCCCAGCGGTTTTTCTCCGTGCTGGAAACCGTCGTCGAAGTGGGCGCGTTCAGACAGAACCAAAGAGTGCAGCCGCACCACAGTAGGCCAGAGGACCGGTAGAGGCGGCCAAAATTCTGAACGCGTTTCGAGCTCCAGAGTCGATAACTGGGACTCGAACCGAACGTGTTACCCACGTCCCATAGGTGGCAATCCATAGGTGGGGGTCACACGTTCGGTTCGAGTCCTCTTTAGCGACTCTGGAGCTCGTAACGCGTCCTGGAATTTTGTCCGCCTCCACCGGCCTTCTGGCCCACTGCGCGCGCTGTAGCCGAGTGCGCGAATTGGTGCGCCTGATGGAAACTGGTGTCCCACGCCGCGCTGCCTGCACGCCGCCTGTGATATCCGGCGCGAGGAAATTCAATAGATGATTGCAAAGGGGCACGCCAGGCTCGGCCGGGGCAGCGCGGGGCCCATGGGGGCCGTGGGGGCCCTCGCCGCGCCCTCGCACCGGAAATGGGGTCGCCACGGTGTCGTAATAGTTGGATGCGCGCACACAGACACACATGAATACATGCATACGCACGCCCGCCCCCGCACACCCACGCACACACACACACGCACGCACGCAAAGCGCGTGGAAGGCCCACTAGCACGTCCTTATACCTAATGACGGGGTGGCGGTCGTCCCCACGCTGATTAGCTTGCTGACACCGCACGCCCCGCCCCGCCCCGCCCCGCCACGCCTCGCCATGCCCCGCCCCGCCCCGCTCCGCCCCGCACCGCCACGCCTCGCCATGCCCCGCCCCGCCCCGCCCCGCCCCGCCCCGCCCCGCCCCGCCCCGCCCCGCCCCGCCCCGCCCCGCCACGCCTCGCCATGCCCCGCCCCGCCCCGCCCCGCCAAAGCTAGCACGGTCGCCGCCAGTAAGGGACTGTGGCAAAGCAGGAGAAAGGTCTGAAAAATGTATGAAAGGGACCATGCCGGGGAGCTGGCCGGGACCTTGCTGGGACCATGCACGCGGCGACGCGGTCACAATCCCAGATGGGGCGGATAGAGCAGAGGATAGAGGTGTGTGCCAGTGTGCCGGTCGCCGAAACGGGAAATGGTGAGGTGGACGCGGCGTGGCTAGCCTAGGCAGCAGACTCATTCCGAGAGTCGTTTTCGTCGCTCTGTCTCTCTCGCACTCATGGGGCGTCCGCTTGAGGTGCGAGCGAGACAGAGCGACGAAAACGACTCTCGGAATCGGACGTCAGGTATTGGCCGGCGATGCGCTGACTAGGACGGCCGGGATAGGGGTGGCTGGAGCTAATAGGGCAGTGGTTCTCAACCTTAGGGTCGCGACCCCAAGCGGGGTCGCGAAATTTTTTTAAGGGGTCGCGGCGATGCTGGGGTCGTGTTTTAGGCCGATTTTAAGCAGCCACTGCGTCTGATCCGAGGCGGGCATTTTGCTCCCTCAACGGGCAATCGGTCTTTGGACCTTCCTTTAGCATGCCTTTGTTACGGAGTGCAATTATCAGTCTTAGTTTGGGAGCAGTATTGTCTCAAAGTTGGCCGAAACGCTCAGAAATGTCTATGAAAAATCGTGTTTTGGACCGATTTTAAGCAGCCACTGCGTCTGATCCGAGGCGGGCATTTTGCTCCCTCAACGGGCAATTGGTCTTTGGACCTTCCTTTAGCATGCCTTTGTTACGGAGTGCGATTGTCAGTCTTAGTTTGGGAGCAGTATTGTCTCAAAGTCGATCAAAACGGTCGCAAGTGTCTTTGAAAAATCGTTGTGACTATTTTGGTCAACTTTGAGACAATACTGCTCCCAAACTAAGACTGATAATCGCACTCCGTAACAAAGGCATGCTAAAGGAAGGTCCAAAGACCAATTGCCCGTTGAGGGAGCAAAATGCCCGCCTCGGATCAGACGCAGTGGCTGCTTAAAATCAGCCCAAAACACGATTTTTCATAGACATTTCTGAGCGTTTCGGCCAACTTTGAGACAATACTGCTCTCAAACTAAGACTGATAATTGCACTCCGTAACAAAGGCATGCTAAAGGAAGGTCCAAAGACCAACTGCCCGTTGAGGGAGCAAAATGCCCGCCTCGGATCAGACGCAGTGGCTGCTTAAAATCGGCCCAAAACACGATTTTTCAAAGACACTGCTGACCGTTTCGGCCAACTTTGAGACAATACTGCTCCCAAACTAAGACTGATTATCGCACTCCGTAACAGAGGCATGCTAAAGGAAGGTCCAAAGACCAACTGCCCGTTGAGGGAGCAAAATGCCCGCCTCGGATCAGACGCTGTGGCTGCTTAAAATCAGCCCAAAACACGATTTTTCATAGACATTTCTGAGCGTTTTGGCCAACTTTGAGACAATACTGCTCCCAAACTAAGACTGATAATTGCACTCCGTAACAAAGGCATGCTAAAGGAAGGTACAAAGACCAGTTGCCCGTTGAGGGAGCAAAATGCCCGCCTCGGATCAGACGCCGTGGCATGTTAAAGGAGGGGTCCCGTGGGGTCGCGAAATTTTTCCTGGGGGTCACGGAAATTTTTGGCTTCAAATTTGGGGTCGCGAGCCGAGAAAGGTTGAGAACCGCTGTAATAGGGCCTCCGTTGTGTGGGTATGCGTCTCTTTCTCTCTCTCTGAGCGTGTGTGGGAGTGTGGGTGTCTCTCTCTCTGGCTGGACGGCATGTATTGTCGCACTAGCTGGCGACGCCACACCTGCACCGCTAAAACGCAGCACTCTTAGGCT